GATATTGCAGATATCGCCATCTTGGTGGTTGTGCTCGTCCTGGTTGTTACGGGCATTGGCGTTGTCACATTATTAATTCGTTATCAAAAATGTATTAAGTTGAAGCAAGTTCAGAGGTATGTCTGCATTTTCCATGGGTTGAAATGGACTGTTACTGAAAATATTTAAGCTTTGTGGCCATAGATGGGGGAATGGTAATGAGCCTCTTAATGAAGGTCGGGTAAGAATAGTAGTAAATCACGCTTTTATGTACTTATCCAAATGATTCTTCCCCAGTGGTTCTCAGACTTTGTACACTTGGAAATTACCTCGGGATCTTTCCAAAAAAAACCACAACAAAACACTGCTGATGTGGATTCAGCACATTGTGATTTAGTTGTTGTAGGATACAAGCTCAGCATCAGTATCTCAGACACCTTGTAGCTGATTTAGCTCTAGCCACAGGTGTATCCCATAACTTGTGTCACTGTTAAATTTCCTTCTTGCCAGTCCACCTAGGGAAACCCTGGGCGTGGAGAATAAAGGATACTTTGCTGATGAGCAGCAGACAAGGACTGAGCCAGTCTTGCCAGATATCCATCCCCTGCATGTAAGAAACTTTTATTTGCAATAGTTAATTAATTGACTTTTTTTAAAAAAAGTAACAGTGTGTGTGTGTTTAAAGTGGAACTGACCCTAAGCTGAGTGAGGTGGGAATACTAAACGCAGATTAATAGCATCTCTTTTCACTAGGGGAGAACTGCTGAGTCCTTGGAGAACCTTCCAATCAGTTTTTCAAGTCCCCACTACATCACACTGGTATGTTCCTTGCACCTTTCTGTGGTTGTCATAATCTGGGTCCATTTCAATCATAACTTTGGTGCCACTTAACCGTTTGTTGGTTCCTTAAAAAAGCCTAATGAGATAATGCAGTTCTCTTATTTGAGGTGGAAATAGGACACTCTGGCTTAGAGACTTACTTTTTAGTGGGGTGGGGATTCGGGTGAAAGGAGTGAGGTGAGCTATGCAAGTCCTAGGACAGACTCCGTCTTTGTTTAAAATGTTGGCATTTTGTACACCATGATACTTGTGTTTTCTTACAAATCAACTTCAAACTTTTCAAACTAACACATTAACATATTATTTATTGTGATCACTGAGTTTGTTTTCAGTCCTTAAATTCCGCTCCTGAGTTCAATGCCTCATTCACCTCACCCTAGTCCTGGCCTCAGTTCTGAGGGGTAAAAACGCAAGGATAGTTTTCAGTGAGGCCTTGACTAGCCCGAGGGCTCTCCACGAGAACCCTCCGTTAACCAAGGTGGTATAATCCTTGCATCAGTATTTATGAGAGAGAAGCAAACTAGCTGGATTAGCACGCACAGCATTAAAGACTGAGTCAAAAAAAAAAAAAAAAAAGAGCCATT